AAGACAACAGGCACTCAATTATGACACTTTCTTAAATGCCTTACCTGGACTTTCTATGTTAGCAGAATTCAGACGGATGGTTCATATGAGGCAACTTAACTTGCAGTAAGTCGTAGTTGGTTTTGTTAACACACAAAAGAAAAGAAAAGAAAAGGCATATTCGTTTCCCTTTTCTGAAGTGAGCTGAATTAGTAGGAAAAGCTAAGGAAAAAAGAGTTCGTTCAAAAGGAAAGAAATTAATTGATTGATTCAGCTATCTTGGAACTAAATGTTCTAAAGGTAAAGCCATAAAGATGGAAGCTGTGAAAGAAGAGCAATCACCTCCAAAAGATGATCGCAATAGTAACCAGCCATGATTTATTTGGGCATATAATTAAGCAAAAATCTTTTTTTTTTTGAGCAAAACAAAGATATTTATATTAATACTACGTAGGTTTTAAAACATTACAGACATTGTCCGAGTCACTTAGGACACATTGGTTACCTAGACTTGCTAGAACATTACAAGCATCAGTAGCTAGATGCTTCACAAAAACATATTGTTCCTTTTGGTCTTTGATTACAAAAGATTCAACAAAAGACGGAGGCTGCACATAATATTTTTTCATTCTTGTTTGTACGTCAGTCTTCTTTGCTAGCTTGTGGGCCACTTCATTCAGAGGAGGATCCAGGATTTAGGGGTTACGGGTGCCGACCTAATTGATGTGATCAACTCGAACGTCGATTCGGGACTTCGGGGTATATAGACAAATAGATTAAACGAAAGAAAATATAATAACTATAACTAATTGACGCAAAGCATAAAACGTCCAACAATATTTTTAATATCATATACAATCTATTTACAATTGTCCTCGACGAGCTTTTATATTTTGAAAACGATCAATAATGACATCATTACTTACATTTGTAAATACATCACGCTCTATGTAACAAATTAAATAATCATTTAAATATTGATCACCCATATTGTTCCTCTCTTCATTCTTTATCTGCTTCATGGATGAGAATGCTCTCTCCACAGTTGCGATAGCAACAGGTAAAGTCAGAGTTAACTTCACAAGTAAATAAACAAATGAATAAGTCTCCACAAGATTTGTCTCAACCAATGCTTTTGCCAAATCACTAATTCCTTGCAAGTTGGAGAACTTGGGATTGCCAACTCGCATATGAATTATGAAAGTATCTAGTTGATAACCCAAGTCTCGAATGTGTACTTCATCAAACTCATTTGGGTAACATTTTGCTAAAGTCATTATTCTACCTTTATCAAAATTAGCAAAAGAATTGGCTGGATTCAAACTAGTCATCCCAAGAAGCAAATCGCTACTCACTACATCAAAATGGTCATTAAGCTCTTTAAGTTGCACATCAATTACAGCATAAAAGATATCAATACGCAAGTGGTGTGAATAACAAATACCAGAAGACTTACGCTTCGACTTTCCAGGAAAATAGGATTCATCCATCTTGGGAATCATAATATCATGCATATGACAAAATGAGGAAACATCATCTAGCAAAGATTCTCACCCAGTTTCCCTTATATCTTGCAATCTTTTCTTTATAATAATAAGAAACTCCACGGCATTAACAATATCTTGATCTCTCTTTTGTAGGATCTTGTTCAACTCATTTGACATTGCCAAAACTTTCAACATCAAGTGCCGCATAAAAATAAATTTGAATGTTATTATCTCACTCAAAAGATATTTTGCTTGATTTCTCTCATTTGATGTAGAACCTTCATATTCAATCACTTCAAGCACATGAATAATAGATGAGAAAATAATAATAAAGTTATCTAATATTTTGAAATGTGATCCTCAACGAGTATCACCTGATCTTTGAAGCCCGCGTTCTTGATTTAGTCCTTGCCCAGTATGAATTTCACCAGACTCAAGTAATTGCTCCAGTTTTTCAGCTTGAAGATGGCGAAGCAAA